GGGGGGGGGCGAAGGTGACAGGGCAGCAGGCAAGCGGGGAAGGAGGCGTTGCGGGCGGGCTAGCTTGCTTGCCTGGCTGGTTGCCTGCCTCAGGAATCCGCGGCGCACCGAGAGGAGCTAGCCGGGAACCGACCAAGAGCGACGGGAAAGTTTGTGCGAAGGAGGGAGGAGCAGAAACTTGGAGAGGGAGAGAAAGAAGGAGGGAGGGAGGAAGAGAAGGAGCCAGCCCCCGCCCTTCTCTGGTGGATGGACAGCCTCCTCCTCCTCCGCCGCCGCCGCCGCCACTACCATTGCTAGGGCAGGAGGCCGCCTCCCCGGCGGGGAGAAGCCGGACTTTTCTGTCTCTTCGAGGGAAGAGTTTTGTTCTCTTGCAGGCAGGACGGAAAGGGGGGCCTGGCAGGGAGGAAACGGGACGGATTGACTGGAAAAGGATGGGTTCATTATGGCTGATCCACTTCCAAAGGAGGAGGGTTGTGTTCCGGGGGTGGTAGCGTTTGCAATTTGGAGGGTGCGAACATGGGATACTGGACGTCTTAGTTAAAGCTATAGGATCCAGACCGCTTTCTTCCTTGAGAGAGCAACGCATGACCATCTGTGAGGTAGAGAGGATCGAATGCCGAACAGAAAACGGGAAGGAAGTGCTGGGTTCAAATCCATGTCAGTGCAAAATTAACTTCAAGGCAATCACTCAACCCGTCTCCCAGGGCTGCTGGCGCGGGAAAGCGACCGTGCACAAGCGCCAGATTTTGTAGGATGAAGGCAAATTTGGTTTGTTTTTAAAAGACAGAGAGACTTCGGTGCTTTAACCCCCCCCAAAAAAAAAACCCCGCAGGTGTATCTGCTTCTTTGTAAACACATAGAAGATTTGGCGGTGGGATGAGGAAGCATCTAAGCACGGGGGGAGGCGGGAATCGGTGGGCGATATCCTTTTGGACATCAGCCACCTTCCAAAAGGGATGGGCTTCAACTGGAGGAGGGGGGAAATGGTTAACCCCCTCAGGCGAGGGGCTCTCTAGGGAGGTCCCTCCTGGGCAAGAATAACCTGTCTGGAACAGGTTGAACGAGTGGCACTTAATCGTGTTCTCCAACGTCGGTGGGAGGAGTGGAAAGAAGGCGAGGGAGGGGGCTCGAGGGCTCCCTGTCTGTGTTTGAGGGAAGATGGGAGGGCAGAACACGGCGGGTGCGGGGGGGGCTGCTCTGAGGCGGGGGAGGCGCATCGTTGGCTCTCCAGAGCATCCCCTGCCGTGAATCTCAGCCTTTTCACTTTTGCTGACGTCACCCTTGGAGAAGGGCCTCTATTGCTTCCAGCTCGGCTACCAAATGGGCTCCGCTCAGACCTTCCAGCCCCCCAACGCGGAGCCTCCCGCTGCAGCGCCTCCTAGAGGTCATGCCCGCAAGCGCGCAGCCTCTTCACCGCTTGATTGCAATCAATCCAGCCGCAGTCAACAATAGAGGAAGTTGGTCAGACGTTTGAAATCTTATTTTCTTCCACTCTTCGCCAAAGGGCGGGCTGCAGGAAGTGGATCCGACGACAGTGAAAAATCGCCTCTCGCTCTCTGGCCGCTTACGCTTCGATTACTGCGCGGACATTTTTCAAATCAGGATAAAAAGGCGGCGAGTCTGATTTCCTACTGCCTCCAACAATGCGCTCTCAACGCATTAGAAAACACATGACAAAGAAGACAGAGAGCGCGCGCTTAATATTTGTTAAAGTCAAGGCCAAACTAGGAAACTTAATGGAGATTGTGGAAAATACTCATGCGACGTTGGAAATGGCAACTCTGCATTGGGAAAGGGATGTGCTATCTTGCAGTTGTGTTAGTTCCCATTACATTCTTCTTACCTGCCTGCCTCTTCTGTTTGTCACAGCCCAAAGAGACTAGCAACCTATATAAAACATTCAAAATAATAACTCTGAAATCACAAATCAGTAATAAAGTACTATAGAACTAGCAAAACGATTACTGTACTCATAGACCTTAACACACAGCCTAAGGAGGCTGAGCGCCTTCTGCCCCGTCCCGCTTTGAAGTGCTCATGGGATGAAGCAGAGTTGGACGAAGAAGCGTGAATAATAATAGTAATAGAACTGCAGATCTGGAAGGGATCATCAAGTCCGGCCTCTGACAAGGAGGCACAAAGTGTAGTTGAGCATTCTCAGGATTGTTGAATCCAAAGTGTTCTACAAGCAATCAGGCACAAAGAAAAAGATTTAAGAGAGTAGTGGAGCTTTCCCGGGGTGAAGAGGAGGAGGACATTCTCACATCCCCTCCAAACCTACAGTATATCAAAAGTTTGTGCTAGTTTGGTGCTGGCTTAGGCCACAAGCTTAGGTTCTGTTCAGCCATACTAACCTTTGGGGGTTTTTTTCTAAAAAAAAACACATCTGGTTTCATAGGTGGCCTAGCCACCTCTCATAGGCATCCTTCAGTCTCGAGAGACTATGGTAACGTGCTCTGTATCGAGAAGTGTCCTCTCCAGAGCACAAAGCCTGGGTAAAGTAATATGGAGGATAGGCTGTTACCCAAGCAGCAGATCCCCCCTCTCCACGTTGCTGAAATGGTCCAAAGGAAAGGCAAGAGCCAATACAACTGGTTCCAGCAATGTTGCAGGAGTTGGCAGAATGACACGAACTGCCTCCAGGACTCCGGCTCCAGATTTTGCCTCGAGGTTAACTCCTGAAGCCTTTTCCATCAGTGGATACAGCCACAAGGCAGTGGAGGTTTGAAGTCGGAGTTTTCCTTCTTCTAGATGGGCTGCCTCCCAATGCTGACGAGCCCCACCTACCCAGTGATGAGCCACCTCTAACATTCTTAAATCTACACTAGATCTATTTGAAAAATTAATGCTGTTTACACACTGTCACATACCGCAAAACCTTGGGCCAATTTTTTTGTATAGACCTCCAAATGTGGAAATTACTGCTTCAATCTCACAACAAAGCAGTATGACAATATGCTGGTCATGCGCCTGGCAACCATATGGCAGATTACCACAGCAGCCCATGTTGTTGGTGCTCAATGTGCATATAAGTACTGAGCAGGATACCACCCTTAGTGTTTTGCCCCACCACAGGCACAACAGGGCAGAATGGGAGGTTTCTATGAATGCTAAAAATCACTTGTACCTTCTTTAGCTTATGGCTCTAAACAGCACAAAACTGGTAGAAAATGTTGACAGAAATGTACAGAGGATACAATATCGGGGTTTGTTATTAATAGACCTAACAGGTGTCCACAGACAAGCTTTTGTTCTTAAGGTAGTCATACTGGAGAAGAGCATGTGTTAGGAGACTTCATAGTCGTCTTCATATTTATTTAAACAATAACAAATCAAATCAAATAAATTTATTGTCATTGTAAATATATACATAGTATACCCATACAGCGAAATTCACACAGACATCCAGAGACCAGACACAAGCAGACACACAAAAAAATCCCCAAACACTCCCCACCCACTAAAAATCCCCCACTAAGAATACAAACATCTACACCTCAGGCTAAATAATAATGTCCAACAATTCACTACTGGTGGCCTTTAAGCTCATTATTAAGTGCAGTTATAGCTCTGGCATAAAAACTATTTAGAACAAGAACAATAATGTGCCTCAAGTGAATTCTGACTTATGACAACCCTTTTAGAGTTTTCTAGGTAGAGAGTACACAGAAGTGGTTCAGCGTTCCCTTCTTCTGGGGCAACCTAGGACTACATAGCTTGCCCAAGGCCACACAGGATGGCTCGTCTGGGACACACAGTGGAGACTCAAAACACTCAACCTCTGGCTCCATAGTCAGTTACTGTGCTATTCAGCCAATTCAACCATTTAATATGTAATGGAGCATAGTTTTTCTCTTTCCTTTGTATATTTTACACTTTAATCAATTCAATAATATTTCATTTATTATTTGCAGTTGCCCTTCAGACAGCCAGTATGGTATCCTGGATAGAATGACAGGAGTCCTAGGTTTAAATGCTTTCTTGGCTATGGAAACACACTGGAGCATGCCAGTGGTAAAACATACCTCAGTTTTACTTTAAAAAATCCTATCAGAGTTTCCATAAATCGGATGCAACTTGATGGCACATAAATTGCCTTCATGATAACCACACTAACACTACTTTCAAAATCATCATCACCTCTTTGAATTGGACTCATGATTGCAATGTTCATTTTATCCATATTGAATAAAATATGACAGATTGTTTCTTTGGTCCAATAGGGACAAAGATGCAAAAATACATCTGCAGATAGGAAAAAAATTGTAATGACCTGCCTGTCATCCTGAGCCATTCTGTAAAAACAATTGCAGGTTCCTGTCATTTTTTTTTTTTTTTGCCAGCGCTATCATTCTCATGGCTCCAAAGCCTTTGCTGTCTTACAGAGTTCTGCCCATTTCTTCTCTGTCACTCGTACTTCAAATGCGCTATCAATCTAGTGTGCCCTCTTCTTTCAAGTCACCATAAAGGCCACCCGTAAGCTCTGTGAAGGGCTCCAGCAGCTGCATAGGGGCTTGACCTCCTAAAATACATCTCAAGGCCCTTGCCTGAATATTTAATTTTTCATATGATGTTAATATTTAATACAGTTAACAACCTATTTTAGGTGATTTGTGTTAGATGTTGACTGTTCTGCCTTGTGTGCACTTCCACATTTTCTGACGGAATGCCTATTTATGTGGTAGTTATGCCACAGTCTGGAAACAAGAGGTAGAATGTTATGTGGGAAACCTCTGAAGAGACATATGAAAGAGCGGGTCATGAGACAGATCTATCACATCCATAGCAAACCTGCCTCATATCAATGAGAGGGAATGGGGAGGGAGGTGTCTCCGTGTTCCCTAATAAAGGCAAGGCTGTGTTGTTTATTTTCAAATTGGTGGTGCTAATTCCAGGCAGGCAGTGTGTAAAGTTCGTGGATTGCACTCTTTGAAAAAGAAGAGAGTCCCATCTATTGTGTCGCAGAATGCCCCTTTTCAAGTGGGAG